TTTTGGAGGCAGAGTCTCACTCTATTGCCCCAGCTGGAGTGCAGTGGCCAGATCTCGGCTCACTGCAAGCTCCGCCTCCCGGGTTTATGCCATTCTCCTGCCTCAGCCTCCAGAGTAGCGGGACTACAGGCATCTGCCACCTTGCCCAGCTAGTTTTTTGTATTTTTTTTTAGTACAGACGGGGTTTTACCATGTTGGCCAGGCTGGTCTGGAACTCCTAACTTTGAATGAGCCCAGCACAGATCCCAGGGAGGACACAGGCATTCTGACAGACAAATGATCCCACCCTTCCCCTCCTTTAGATGGTGAAGGAAACACACAGAACTTCAGATTGTGAAGGCCAGGAGCCTCCCTTGGTTTCTAGCAATCGCCACTGCTTCAAGTCCTGAGGTCCCTGAACTAATGTTCCATATTGTTCCAAATTATGGGCTGGGCCACGCTGACTCCATCCAGAGGGCATCTGCATTTCACCCAGAAGTACACCTGGCCCATTTCCCAGACCTGGGGTCTCTGCTAAAATTTCACTTTGTCACTGACATCTTTCCTGATTTCTCAATTTTAAATTGCAGCAACTTTCCTGAGCAGTCTCCATCCCACTTGTTCTCTTTATTTTTAACTGTAGAATTGGAACAGTCTCACATTCTGCACACTTCACTTACTCTCTGTAACATTTCCCTTCCTACTCTAGAAGGGAAGTTGCATGTTTTGCTCATTATTGGACCACAGTGTTCAGATGACTGCCTAGCACATAGTAAGAGATCAAGAAATTAATTATGATAAAATTAATTATATTCAATATCACATGATATAAAATTAGATTATTATTACTAAACTGCATAGGAAAAAATGAAAACTACAGCAGCAATGCAGTCCATATATCAAGTTTCTGTGACAGCATGGGAAAAAAAGCCATTTAAAAACATTGAAGGCTGAAATATAGAAAAATATCCTTGGGAAAATGTGGCTTCATGAAGCAATAGGAGTTTAGAAGACAGAAATAGACTATTTTGGTTTTGAGGGCAAGAAAATGCTTCATGGTGAAACACAGAGGTATTTAAAACGTGGGTAGATTGAAACAAGGGGTAGAGTACAATGTTCGGTGGAGAGAATAATATCAGGGCAAGAAATACGCAGGGTCAGGTCGACCTCCACTGAATTTAGAGAAATGGATGTTGCCAGAGAGAAGGATGGAGTAGAATTCAGGCTGATGTGCTGAGAAGCATCCATCAATCCAAGGGAAATGGTCAGATGAGGATGGAGCCTCCCTGCTCCCCTGTTGGATAAAGGCACACTGGGAGCACCACATGTGACTTCTGCTACTGCAGTCTAGGGTGGGCAATGACTGCTGCAAACTCTAGGGACAGAGAATTCAGGGAGAGGTGTCAGGGTCTCCAAACAACCAGGGCCACTTGCTCGGCCTCAAGTAACACCCAGAACTGTTCACTGAGATGCACGAACATTCTACGTTCACTGATGATATACAAGAGATTTTCTACCTTGAACCACTTGTGTGCTGGAACAATGAATAACGAATAAGTCAGATGCCTCATCCCTTTAAATGTAATTACCCAAGAGGGCAGCAGCCCTGTCTCTGTGGGAGGATAGGAGCCTTACTCCAACAAGCACAAATGAGCAAACACAGATGGCCCAATCACACTAGCCAACTTCCCTCCTAACGACCTCCAGAACCATCCTGCTAGCTCCCCCCAAGGCTGAAATTCTCCTGCCTTTCGTTTGAGGTAAGTTAAGTCCAAGGGCTCTTCCTATTACAATGTTTTGACTCGTATTGCAACAGTCTTCAATAAATGTTTCCTTGACATTCCTTGGAAGTCTTGCTGAAATTTTTCTTTTACAAGAAAAGTATAGAGTTGTTTTTTCTGTGTCTCTGTTTGTTCTGAACTCCGCTTACAAACAGAACCAGAATGTAAGAGATGAGAAAAGTTCTCGTTTCCTTTTCTGAAGTTCTGTATTTCTTCCTTTGCCATTAAAACTCAAATAACTCATAAAAATAAAAACAAAGGGAAAGAGTTCATTCTAATATTTCCTGGCAGATCACCCTCCCAACCTCTCAGTGCTTTGTCCTCCTGGATGACAGTGAGAGTGACCCCCTTCCTCTTTGCCCCAGCCCTCCACCGATGGCCACCCACTAACTCCTGCCGCCACCTGGAATTCCTCCAGCTCTGAACATCAACTATGAAGCTTCCCATCCCTAACTCACTCGCTGTCCTTCCAGCCTCTCTCATAGCCGTCCCTCCTTCCCTGATGATCAACAAGGCTCTTCTCCCGCGGGGCTGTGCATGGGAATCGCCAGGGAGCCTGAGGCCCAAGCTGCCCCCAGGACACCTGTCATCTGCTATCA